GTGCTTCCAAAAGCATTCTCCAGCCTGACGCCATCAGGCTGCTTAGGGGTTTCTGGGGGAACTACTTTTAAAAGACCAAAGCATCTTGCTCCTCCCATGTCAGGAGGGAGAGAAGATTACATAAAGCCACTGGGAGACCCTCTGGTCCCCACTGGGCACACCAGGAAAGGTCCAAAGATGGAGAGAGGATCTGCTTACCACTTTAAGATGGGAAGGTACTCAGACAAGGCAGTGCCTGCAGAGTGCAGCCCATTCCTGGAGGCACCTGGGCCCAGTGACTGTGTTCCTTTGTGTTTGTATTCCCTGCTGCAGAGTCACCTCAAGGAAGCAGCTCATCCCTTCAGGGAAGCCATGTGCAACTCACAGCCTGAACCAGCAGTGGCTCTCTGATCCGTGTTCTGGTGTTTTATCTTGGTAGGCAGAGAAAATCACAGGGCCAGTATACGTCGTCTCTGAACCCCCAACCGTGGGCAGTCACTCCTCAGCCTCCCTTAACCACGAGACCTCAGTATAGGGCTTCCGCGCAGGGATGCCAGGGGCCTCGTGGGGCTCTGCACCCAGGGTGCAGTCCCTCTTGGGAAGCGAGGTGCCCAGCTGGCTCCTGTTGAAGATCTCAGGTGCAGGGTCACGCCCTGCACAGTCTGGGCATAGGCTTCCATCTGCCTGCCCCGGGCTCCCGCCGAGTGGACTGGACTCCTCTCCAGGGAGCCCAGTGGTCCACAGCACAACTCAGCCTGGAGTATTAGCAACACAGCACTAGGAGTCAGGGGCACTGTGGCCTCTTTGGGACCTGTTGTTGGTCCCTCTCTGGACAAACCAGACATCTTCTGTCTCCAGGGCTGGGCTGAGATGTTCAGTTAGAACAAACAGAATACTCCATCGTATTTTCCTACATGTATGCTGCCCCTCAGACTGGAGAGGTTGGTGGGCAGACAGGGCCACAGGGCCTTTGTGCATGCGTCATCTATACCACAGACCAATCATGATTACACAGTGACTGCAGTGACCACTGAACTTACTGTTGTGACACCCTCTACCCCGAAGGTGTTGGTGCCGTGGGTTGTGGCTGCTGTCCCCATCGGTTCCTCATCTTTTCAATGGCCTGTGCTGTTCCAGGTCTAGTTATCCTCTGGTCTCAGGTGAGTTGACTCTGGGGGCCTGCAGAATGGGTTCCTAATTGGGATGAAGCTTGGTTGTGCTCTGGGGATCGCCTGGGCCTTCTCCTGGTTGCCCTTTCAGAATGGGCCTTTGCTAGGAAGCCTGTGTCCTGGTGGTTCTCACCGGCCTCCACAAGGATGGAGGGCAGGACTGCGCCCCTCTTGGTGGGCAGCACACCCCGGCTGGCTTGTGCCAGGAGCCTCACGTGGTAGGTTAATTCACTTGGGGCTTTACTGTCCTTCTCGATTTCCTGCCTTTCACATTTGGACAAAATGGCTTTGTGTCTTCAGCCACAGTGTTGATTAAAATGTTGGTCAAGGTGAGACAGGTAACAGCCCACTACGGGGGCCTCTGCCTCCTTCATCCTGCCACAGAATCCTCCAGTGAGTGGCTGAACCCAGCCCAATTCGCCTGCCTTCCGTTCCTCCGGGCAGGGCCTTCCTCATCCAGGTGAGCGCTCAGGAGAGTCGCCCTGGTGGTCACCACCAGCAATGCCACACACTGCAGAGAGACAGGCAGAGAGACCCAGCGCTGCCATGTACTGGCTGTGCAGCGAGGCTTCCCGAGGAGGGTGGCCGAGGGCTGGGTGCCGGGCGGCTTTGATTCTCCCAGGGGTGTGGAGGCATCTGCCGAGGGTGGAGCAAGAGCGCGAAGGACTCCTGTGGCCTGGGTGTCCTAGGCACGGGTCAGGGCAGCCACAGGAAGGGCTGTCGAGTCGGGGGTCAAGTGAGGAAATCTTTACTGAATCTCGTTCCCTGAGAATGTCCCAGGGCCAGGTAAAGAAGGCAGAGAGGCAGAGCAGAGGAAAGGACCCGGCGCTGGAGGGAGAGGCACAGGTGTTCACTGACATGGGAGATGCGTGGTAGAACATACGTGCAAGGAGTCGGACGCCAGAATAGAGCCACGGGGAGCACATGTGGGGTTTGCAGGGAACAGGCTGAGGTCCGGCGGCCACTTGGTTCCCTTAAGTAGATTGTGCATGCCTGATGAATAGAGCCAAGCCGGACTGTACCTTAGTGACTTCATGTGGAAGTTTTGTCTTTGCGTGGAATACTGAGAGCGTTGGAAGTAACTGCTCTTCAGAACGAGGCCCAAAATGGAGATGCTTCTGTGGCACTGTGCCCAGATCCCCACTGTGGTTTTTGTCACTTTGTGTCCTTTATCTGTGTATATGCCTCTGCCTGTCCCTACCACACAGGGGCATTTGCAGAGCAGCTCGGTCTCCCACGCCAAGTAGCTCTCTGCCTTTAGCTCCAGTGAACGTAGCTCACAATTCTAGCTGGAAGTCCGAATGTGAAGGCTTTCTGGAAGACCAGTGAGCAGTCCTAACTAGGAAGCTAGTGGTTGTAATTGTTTTCACTAGATAATCCAGTAGATCCTGATCAGAGGGGGCTTTTATGTGTGCATTTGAATTTCACGAGTGCGAGCCTGCTAGTAGATCTCTTCACTTCTACCCATAAGTTACCAAGTTCACTTACGGTCAATCTGCATGTGTTGTAATTCTTTCCTGCCCTGTCAGTTTCCTATAAGTTGGCATAAAATACATGAATCGGGGTACTGTCTTATAAGAATCTGTGCAGAAAGGTTATAATTCATAGTATTAGGACATAAAAGCCCATGGATCAGGAGGCTGGACCTTTTAAGATCCACAGATGCATTGGCTCAGCCTGTAATTGCAAGGTGTAATTGCAGGTCAGCCAGGGAGAAGCCTGTTTGAAAGTCAGTGATTTTTTTTTTTTTTTTTTTTTTGATGAAAACCCAACAAGTCCCCCAGTGTCCAGGGCCTTCCTGGGGTGGGGGAGGGGCTGCAGACCTCCCCGCCCCACCTCCCCCCTTCCCTTTCTAAGGCAGGTGGAGGTTCTGCTTCTGCATGAACACAGGGGTCACTTGTTCTCTGAGCTTAAGGGCAGGGGATGGCACTAGAGCTCCCACTGGGTCTCTTAGAGTACTGGTCACTGGCTGTCCATCGTCAGGAGCCTGAGAGGCTCTGGGAGCAACGAAACTCGCCGCCCGGGGGCCCCTGTGTTTCCTGCTGCGCTTCGTCCCCTCTCTGGTGTCAGCTTCAGCAGCGGGGATGAGGGCAGCCAGCCAGAGCCCAGGGCTTTGTGTCACAACCTGGCCTCCCTCGGCACCAGTGTGGCCCTAGATCAGGCCCTCTGCAGCGCCTCCTCACCTTTAGGGGAGTCACAGGCCTTGGAGAGGCGGGGGGTGGCTGGGCCCTCCTGACCGAGGTCACTTTCACTCCCTGAAGGTGGGCACTCTGTAGACACCAAAGGGTTTGCAAATGCACGTGCCCACAGCCCCACCCTCCAGGTGCTGTTGGGTGCAAGACCCACAGGTTTAGGTCCAGCCCGGTGGGCAGTTAAATTCTGCAAGAGCCATGAGGCTATTTACATAAAGCATGACACGATTCTTTACAGAATATGTAAGGGTGTCATATGAACGTGGCGTGATTTCCTCTTCCTGGACACTGCCCGAGCCCCACAGAAGTGGGGCTTGCCAGCATCAATGGGATTGGGAGGAGGGGTCTCTCAGCCACCAGAGGGGAGCTGCATTTCTCCTGAGACTAAAAGGAAGGAGGGAAGGTGGCTGGAGACGGTTGCTGTGGCCTTGGAGACAGGAGGCAGGAGTTGGGCTAAGTGTCCTCATGGCCAGTGCTCCTGGGCATGTGGCACGGAAGGGCCTTGAGAGCTGCTGAGGCCAAGGCTGGCAGGAGGGCCTCGGAAGGGCCTTGAGAGCTGCTGAGGCCAAGGCTGGCAGGAGGGCCTCGGAAGCCGGGCTAGAGGAGCCAGGAACCCAGCAGGTGGGAGCTCTGTGCCCTAGACACGAGCCACTGAGTGGCCATGTGCAGATGACAGAGAAGGTGCCTGGATACCACCTGGAAGGTGGGCTCTTCCCGTGGCTAAGGGCAGTCATGTAGCTCGTTCGCAGGCCAGCGCTTGCAGACCGCTCACCCAGGGGGACCTCGCCCCTGAAGAGCCAGCTTCACGTTTCTTGCTGGTGGTTTGTCGCTGGTCCTGCTCCTCCAGAGTGGTCCCTGCTGGGCTGGTACTGGGAATTTAGGGCCAAGGTCTCTGGGCCCGGGCCCTGGGAGGGCAGGTCAGTGCACCTGGCTAAACCAGGAGAGACTCTCTGCTCTGTAGTGGTTCCCACTGCACAGGGGAGGGACATGCTCCTAGGGAGTGGAGGGATTGGTCCAAAGACCAAAATGGGGGAGATGGTGTTGCAACATGTGGTCTCAGACTGCTCTCTTCCTGTCCCAGAACGTGCCCCTCGGCAGACCGCAAGCCTCAACTCGACCCTTCCGGTCACCTGGAATTCTGCTCTCTGGTCTGAGGATAGCAGGAACTAAAGCTTCTTCCACCCTGACAGGTCCCTTGCCGTGGAAGGACAGAAGTCTCTGGCGTCCTGAGTGCTGCGGTGTTGCTGCGTCTGCGCGCAGGCGCTGTGCAGTAACTAAAACCCGGTCCTGAGATGAGCCTCGCTAACTTAATCTTCCTCCCACAGATACGATGGTCAGCAGTAAGTCACAAACTTATTCTCCTAAGTTGCTTGGTCTGTGCCCGACACAGAGACACTGACATCACACGCTGGTTCTCATTTTTCCCTGTCCCCAAGCATCGATTGAAACCTAGCTAAGCCTGCTGGCTTTAGGAAGCGATCTCGAGCATGCGGAGGTGTGTGGATTCAGATCGCCGCTGCCGTGGTTGTCCAAGCCTGTGTGTGCTGCCAGCCCCATGCAGGTGCCATTGAACCCAGAGGCACTTTTGTGACAGAGCACTGGCAGAGGGGCTGCTGTCTCATGAAAGTAAACTCTTCATCCCCACCACTCTGTGTTTCAGAACAAGAAGAAAACTTTGAGTTTATCATTGTGTCCCTCACTGGCCAGACCTGGCACTTTGAAGCCACCACATATGAAGAACGAGATGCGTGGGTCCAAGCCATCGAGAGCCAGATCCTAGCCAGCCTACAGTCCTGCGAGAGCAGCAAGAATAAGGTAAGCCCTCAGCAGGCTGTCCCCCGAAATCAAGGCCTCTGATCATTAAAGAGCAGCAGAGGCCCAGAGTGCTGGCCCAGGAGGACAAAGCATCAGGTGACGGGTGGATGACAAGGACCCAGGTATTCTTTGTGAGCAAAAGACTAAATAAGTGAAAAGATAAAAACACTCTGTCCATCTTCACCGCGTGTCATGCCTTGGTGTCCTGGCTTGGCCCTGTCCCTGTGGCAGGATGTCCAACACTGAATCTTTGTTCTATCAGGTGGACACGCTGAATGGCCATGGCGGGTGCTGGAGTCTCCTGGGCTCTTAGGTCTTACTCATCCACACTTTGTCTGGGGAAGAATAAATCAGAAAAAGAAATACAGATGTAAAAGATGCACCATTCTGTTCCCACGAATGCCCGAAGTCCAAACCCATGCCAAGTGGGGAGGTGGCCTTGTTAGAGGTGGACACAGAAGGTGCCTGCAGACCTGGGCGGGAGGGAGATTGGGTGAGGAGAAGTTCTCTTTTCTAAACTGTTGCTAAAGCCTGGTGTGTGTTTTAATCAATAATTAGAGGCGATTTTTTTTTTTTTACAGTTGTATAGCCAAAGAAAAAGTGTTTTAATGTGCATTTTTTAGGCCACTGCTCAGTGACATTCCTTACACTAAAATTATGTTCCCATCCAGAGCTGCTTCCATTTCTCTGTTTTAATCCTCGACTGTTTAAAACCCCCTTGCTGGGACGTTTTAGAGCCTCAGTTATTTTTCTAACTGTGCCCAAATAGAAACTGAGGACATTGCCCACCAACCTACAAAGTCAAGTGCATTTAAAGAAAATTCTGGAAGGGATTTGTGGTGAGCTTTGTGTGCACATGCAACACACTCCCGCACTCGGATGCCAACATGAATTGTCAAACATACTTTAAATCCTTGGGTATCTAGCTGAGGGGAATTAAAACCCAATAATACAAGATACTAATTAGACAAAGTTAATAAATTATAACTTAATGTTACACAATAAATTATTCTACATCAAACAACGTGTCAAGAGATGGCCTCATCCATTCCTCAATATAAAGAACTCTTACACAAAAATAAGATTTATCCCAAGTGTCCCTTGAAATTGATCAATTTTTGTTTTAAACATAATATTAAATGCGTATTGAATAAACAGGCTGTAACCACTGCAGGCATCCTTTCCCTAGCACCTGTAGAACCAGCAATTCCTCTCCACTAGGTAATGGTGAATGTGTGCGTAGAGTCGGCGTCAAGAGTGCTCCGTTCAGCACTGTTCAGGTAGAGCAGAGCTGGAGGCGACCCAAGCATCTGGGGCAACTTGACAAGGGATTCAGTGATAAGTGGAAGACGACAACGCATGGTATCAAAATATCAGAGCTCGACTCTGCGTTGTCCCGCCACGGGTCACACGTCTTCATGTAGTTTAAGAATAAGTGCCCCCACCAGCACTCTTTGTCCCAGTTTGTTTTCCTCAAATGGAAAGTGGGTCTCCAGCCATGACATGGTGTGGACGGGTTGTCTGAGCAGTGAGCATGAGTTAGGTCTACCCCGCCGACGAAGCCCCGACTCCCGGCTCATGAGCAGGTCGGCTTCCTCTGCTTCTTGGGTCTTCATGCCAAGAAGTGCAGTGTCAGCCGAAGTGTGTTAACACCAACCTTCCCGGGGGCCCCTGGCCTCGTGGTCACACACACACCACTGGACTTTCCTCTTTGCTGGTTTTGGCAGAGTCCGTCTCTACAGGTGAATCCCGACGTGTAGCTTTTCTCCCTGGGTCATGCTGTCTCCTGAAGACATCAAGAGAGGAAAGTGAGGATCTCCCTCCTCTTGTATTGCACATGGTTGAGCTGATTGTGTTAGGAGGTGTCTGTCTCCCCGGGCTTCTCATATTTTGCTTTTGTCTGTCTTCTTCCACGCCCAGTCCCGACTGACCAGCCAGAGTGAGGCCATGGCCCTGCAGTCCATCCGAAACATCCGCGGGAACTCCCACTGCGTGGACTGCGACACCCAGAGTGAGTGCGCCAGGGGAGCGGGATGGACCCGGGGCCCAGCTGCAGGGTCAGGCTGTCGTCCCTGTCAGGAAGGGCGGTGACGGGTACCAAGGTCCACTGTTCTGTTCAGACTTTACCTGAACCGTCTCGCTGACTGACACGCACCATTCCCAGGAGCAGTCAGGGAGCCCTACTTAGGACTGCGAAGGACTCGGCCCAGACCCACATCCCATCGAGTCTGGGAAGCAGCCTCTGCTACATCAGTAACCAATTGTTTGTTTTTTTCCATAAAAATAGAGTACATTTCTGCCCAGAGATTCTGGACTTTTTTTTTTTTTAATTTCAAAAGTATATGTTCTGGGTTTTGACATCATGATTCTTTTTATTTTAAATACATTACAAACTGCAGCATTTGATTGAACGAGTAGAACTTGTAGTTACTGCTTCATGACTCAGTTGTATTTCGTGCTTTCTGTTGTCCAAAATGTGGTGTTCCCTTTGACAGGGGCATTTTGTGGCTTACCTCCTTGAGGCTGGGGATTGGCTGTTCGCTCTTTTAGTCCCAGCCCTGAGAAGTTTATATTGGGTTGTTTTTTTTTTTTCCTAATTGTGTTAATGTTCTTGTTTTTGTTTTGTTTTGTTTTGGTTAAATAGCATTTCAAAGAGGGGAGACTCAGTTCAAAGTTTAAACAAGGTCAGAGGTCCTGGGGCCAGGCCAGCGCTGCTTGGCAGGCGCGGTGGTGGGGCTGGTGCTGAGTGTCCGGAGCCAAGCCCAGGGACTGAGACGTGAGCCCACAAGAAGGGCCAGCTGGGCACTTGGCGTCAGGCTGCTTAGGGCCAGCCAACCTGCCACAGGGTCAGTGTTTCAGCGAGTTCTGGGGACATGTCGGGTTTGTGCAGGTGGAGGAGGCTGAAGGGGCCATGCAGCATGGGTCACTGCCAAGCAGAGGGTAACCCTGGCCTCATTTAGGAAAAGAGCAGCCTCTCAGCTGGACCCGTGTCAAAGCCAGTGGGGTGCGGCACCAGAGGCAAGAGTTGCGGTCTCTGTTCTTCAGTCCTGGGTGCTGCAGAGCAGGACAGGTGAACCCCAAGCCAGGCGGGGGAGACGGGCCTGTCTATCTGAGAGTCCCACTTCACATGGAGTAGGGTAGAGAGCCAGGGCAAGGAGGGTAACTGGGAGGACTGGGTGGTCTCCACAGGGAAGGGTTGGGCTGCCCCTGCAAGGCCACGCGTCTCAGGCCTGGGAAGGGACACAGCGAGTCACTTCTCACGATGGGGGACCAGGATGCTGTTTTCATGATCCTTGAGATACTTCTTTAAAGTATCTTTTTTTGTTTGAATCTTAAAATTTTACTTTCAAAACGTGTGGTGGTGGAACAGAGGTAGAAGACAGGAACAGTTATTTGAAGTGTGTTTTTATCAAAAACTTTTTAAAGTAGACCTTTCTTAGAAGCACAAACCTGAGACGCTTCAGACCGTCCATTAGGGAAGTTCTGTCCTTGTTTCCACTATACATCTAAGGATTCCGTTAAAAGAAACTAGTCTGTGGGGACCATGGCCTGTGACATATTGGAGGTCAGGAGTGGGGTGTGGGAGCACTGAGGGTGGGTGGGGAGGGGAGTGCCTGCCAGGCCGCGGGACCAGTGTGGATGGAACCAGCAGACCACCTGGGTGGAGGAGCAACCCGGGAGAGCTGTGCAGCTGGGAGGCGCCAGGCGACTGTTCACCAAGCAGGTGCCATCGTTGATTCTCACGACTCTTAGAGTTGGTGCCACTGTGGGCCCCTTTACAGTGGGGGAAACGAAGAGTCCAGGGGCTTGAATAATTCGTGCAAGGTTACAGAATTGGCACATCATGACCTATCCTTCAATCCACGCTCGGGGCTGCCTGTGTTTCCTCAAAGGTCTTAAAGCCTGGAGAGTCTGAGATCAAGGACGCACATAGATAGCACCCTGGCCAGGATCTTCTGAAGTAAAATCATCCAGTTTGGGTGCAGGGCTGGGAAACATGTGCCCAGGCTGACATTCACCGTAGCAATCATGAGCACCCCTCAGCGCAATGGGCACGGTTCAGGAGGGCTGGGTGCCCTGGTGCCTGCTGGGCTGCTCAGGAGGAAACTGATGGAAATGGCAAGAAAATAGCTTGGAAGATGTCCATCGCACCACAGCTGGACCCAGGTCAGGAACACCCCGGGTTCTGCAAAGCTGAGGGCAGTTATGGGCATGGAGTGCCTCAGGAGATACTGCACTCCAGAGACAGCACGTGCTTCTCCCAGTGAGTCTGGCTGGCCCATCGCTTCAGCTATGCTGCCTCGTAGTGGGGACGAGGCGGGGGACTTCAGTGCCGCATGGGATTTGAAGCTGTGAAAACCCCACCTCCTCCTGTGGTTCTTCTAGACACCAGGAGCCCCATCTGTCTGCACTGTTGGTACATCCCAAAGCCCAGCTTCCAGTGTGGACACTAGACTTCCCTAGCTTTGGGGGTAACCACCTATAAAGGGAGTCTGTGATCCAGTGAATTTAGGACGCTCAACAGCGTCCACCAAGTGGGAGTCGAGGCCTTGGCCCATCCCTGCTTCTGGGAAGTCCTGCCATAAAGATGCCTGTTGCACATGGTGCAGTCCAAGCTGTGGTAGAAGTCTGTTTGGGGCACCTGTTGCCAGACGCCTGCCAGGAACATGCCCAGAAAGCCTGCCCTTGGGGGCCCATAGAATCCCAGACCGTGGGGCCCCCACGTGGCCCTCACCAGCAGCTAGCCATTCAAGGACAAACCCTGCGGGGCAGTCCTCTTACCCATCAAGCCCTGGCCAGCGCTGCTCCACGCTGATCCTGCCACCATGTCTATCTAAGCATTATGGGTGCCCTTCCCTCCCAGGTGACCCAGCCAAACTTGCAGGGGGAGCCCCACCAGCCTCTCGGGTCCTGCCCACAGGCAGAGCCATCCATTGTCCCAAGTCCTCAGAGCCTTGGCCCCACGTCGCCTCTCCAAAAGGTTGTCCTTGACCACTGGCTGTTTCTGCAATGCTGGGCAGGCGCTCTTCCACCACGCCACACCCAGCCGCTGACCACCAAGTTTAAACTGCTCACGTCCATCTGTGTCCTCTTGCTCCTCCAGGGGTGCCTGGTTCTGCCACCTCTTGGTGGATCATGTGATCTTCTATTTCTTCCTTAGATGTCAACTGGAGCAGAGGTGAGGCTGACCCTCCACAGCCCTGGTCATAGGGGCGGAGCAGCCTCGTCCCTGCTGCACTCGGTCTTGACTGGGTCTCAGCGGCCAGGGGCTTGGGCTCCAGGTCACTCTGCTCCCCTTGAATCTTCCATATTTGTTATCTTCACAGAAACCTTTGAGTATAGGCCCAGAAACACCCCCCCACCCCATGTAGACATCCTCCTTTAGATCCAGACTAGGACAGTCTGGGAGGTGGGCAGGGTGGCCATGTGCCAAGCTCTACATATGGACCATTGCCATTGGTCTATGTCCCTGAGACAATTCACAGGGGCCTGGAGCAGTGTAGTGGGCCCCACAACCAAATGAGTCTCCTGTACAGTGCAGGCGAGCAGCCCTGGGGGCAGCGTTAACTGTCCACCGTAGCACTCAGCAGTGGCCCTTCCACGGGGCACAGGGCGAAAGAGAAGGGGATTCGGTGCAGGAGGAGCCAGTGAGAAGGGTGTGGTGACGATGCACTTCAGCACCGACTTAGCTGGAAGCCGGCGGGTTGGGTGTCTTGGGACTGTGCCTGTCAGTTGCCTCTCAGGAATTCTTGTGTGACAATGGGACCTGTCCCCACCTTATGCCCAGCACAAACCACAGCCTGCGGCCTTCTCAGGAGATCAGGTCCCCCAGTGCGGCCCTGAGCCTTCCCAGCAGATCTCCCAGCCATCCTGGTGTGGGCTACCACCCGGCCTGGTGGGCCTCCTTGTGCCTGCTAACGCTGCCCTGTGGTCAGACCAGAGCCTGTGTCACTTCCTAGTACATCCTGTCCTGCCCACACAGCCTACCTCACACACGCCCAGACCCCCTTGGAGGGCTCCCCTGCTTAGTGGAGCCATTCTGAGTCACCTGCCAAAAGCACGTCAAGGCAGAGCCCTGAGGAGCTGGCGTTACCGCACCTGCCACCTACCTTCCCGCAGGGGAAGCAGGCACAGGGTCAGCCTGGGCTGAGTGCAGGCTGCCAGAAGTCATCTGGCAGAGGGCGGTCAAGGAGGACGTCCTAGGAAGGAGTATTCCAGCTGAGGCCAGAGAACGAGAACTGTACCGGGGCCCAGGGTGCTCCCTCCGGCCAGGCGGGGGAGCCCCGAGCACTGGTGGGTCAAGGAGCTAAGCGTCTCGGGTGGGACCAGTGAGAAATGGGCTCAGTTTTCATCAGGACTAGGAACAACTCAATCCAAAGGGCAGACAGCAGCCGTGGGTGGTTCTGAGTCCTGGGGTGACATGAGCAGATTCGTCACATTTCCTGGGTGCAGGTGGGGAGCGGTCTGCGGTGGGTGGAAGGTGAAAGCACAGGCAGTAGCTGCTGTACCCATGTCATGACGGCGGAAAGGACGAGGGTTTGAGAAGGAAGAGTTGGATTTGAGGGAGCTTGAGAGCACGTGGTTAGCTATGGGAGTGACAGAAAACCTGGGGTTGGTTGCCAGGATCCTGCGTAAGTGACAGGAAGGCCAGTGCCACTGGCTGAGGTCAGGAACAGAGTATGTCTGTGAGGCGAGATGGTGACAGTGGCGTGTCTGCAGGACGGGGATGGAAATGGACTGTGACAATGATGCTCTAGCTCGGGAGCGAGGAAGAGGTGACAGCTGTAGGTAAGAGCTAGCATGCGGGTCGCCGTTGGAGCCGTGGGTTGGGTGGGCTGGGTGTTAGTCGGTGTTCTCACCACTGTGACTGAAAGTCCTGACAAGAAGGAACAGTTTATTTGGGTGTCACGGTTTCAGAGGTCTCAGTCCACAGATGTGTCCAGAGGTGAGGCAGACCATGGTGGCGGAAGGGCGTGGAAGGGGGCCATAGCTCAGGACGTAGTGATCAGGAAGCAGAGAGAACGGCCCCTCACCATGGGCCACACAAACTCCAGAGGCAGTTCCGCAGTGACCGCCTCCTCCAGCCGCCACCTGCCCTCGGCCACCACCCAGTTGATCCCTATCAGGGATTAAGCACTGACTAGGTGACGACTCTCGCAACCGGATCATTTCACCCCTGAGCTTTCTTGCATTTTCTCACACATGAGCTTTTGGGGGACAGCTCACATCTAAACGTTAGTGGGTCTGCTTGGAAGAGAGTATGGACAGGCTGCGGGAGCCCTGAGGGAGGGACAGGTCCAGGAGGAGACCGAGATACAGCAACCAGAGACGTGGGAGAAAGCCCCAGAGAGGCTGTTGGCCAGGACGGCATCCGAAGTCAGCATCTGAGGAGGGAACCGGGACGTCTTCGGCCAGCCAGGGGCCAAGTAAATGGTGGCAACTCCCTTGGGTGTGGCCTTTGAAGGTGGCTGGTGATATGGGCTGCCCTGTGTTTGGGGGACGGTGGGGGGTACAGAAGCAGAGGTGGCCAGGGTGCGGAGGGCCGTGCAGGCTGTTGTCCACACCTCCCCCTTCTCCCAACACCTGCAAGGCCGGCCAGACCTTTGTCTACACGGCCGACCCTGCCCCTGCTGTCCGGCCCACCTCTGCGTTTACTCGTGTGGCTGAATTCTTCGGCATCTACGCTTCCTTGTTCTGTTGTTTGGTTGTTCATTTGGGGCACGGGTTTCCCCCTCCCACCTGACGCCTCTCAGGCCCAGGCGTCTGCTCTGGCCCGTCCCCTGGCATCACCTCCTGAACGTGGACTAGATGTTAAGCAAATGGCTGACTGATTGATCAGTTCATATACGACCCTTCCTGGTCATTTGCCGTTTGTAGAACAAAGGACATGTACTCAGTGAATCACACATGACATCAGCCACCTGGTGTTCTGCCGGCTCTTCAGGTGGTCTGGGGAAGTAGTGACTGTCCTTGAGTTGAGCCTTACTTGCTTCTGTCCTTGAAAACATCTTGGCTAATCAGCTGTGGATTCTAGCTGTGGCCAGCCCTGGGCCTGAGTTTCGGGTCTTGCGATGACTCCGGCCTGTACACAGTGAGTGATGCAGGTCAGGGGTCCCAAAGCCCTTCTATGACCAGGTTTGTGGTCCTGCAGAAATGGGTCCTTGGTCCGGTATCACAGCCTGAGGCCTCTACCATTCATCCTGCAACTCAGGGTGACAGAGCCGGCTCCTCACTACCCAAGGGCCCCGTGCCAGCTTGCCAGCCGTGAAGCATGGAGGGTCCAGTTGCCGCAGTGCTACCCTTAGAAAAGATCCCAACGGTGTATTTTCCCATCATTCTTTCATCTTTGAAATCCACGAACACTTCCATCACGGGCCTATCGAAACCTTTGTGCTGGTTTAGTAGAGGTGGTATGAGGGCTGTTCTGGCTTTGGGAATGACCCCAGCTTGCTTCCCCCTGGCCTCTGTCAGCAGCTACCTGCTGTGGACGCCAGCCTTCTGGAAGTGAGCACGGCTATTGAAGTGTTGGAGAGGGCGTCCCTCCAGGGGCCCTCTAGCTGGACCGTGTCATTGTGTGTTGTGGAGGAAACTCGTGGGCTTCTGCTTCAGCCAGAGTTTTAGAACATGTCACTTCTTTGAAGGCACCTAGAACAATATTGAGTACTGGCCAGGGGCCGTGGGGTCATGTGAGGGTGGGGACCGCCCAACGTGGAGTCTGACCAGCTGGTCCTGAAACTCTAAGGACAGCAGGGACAAGTGATGGTGGTCTGATGTGCCCGGCTGTTCCACTCCCCGCAGATCCCAACTGGGCCAGTCTGAACTTGGGAGCCCTCATGTGCATCGAGTGCTCTGGCATCCACCGCAATCTGGGCACCCACCTCTCCCGGGTCCGGTCTCTGGACCTCGACGACTGGCCCATTGAGCTCATCAAGGTGATGTCGTCCATCGGGAACGAGCTGGCCAACAGCGTCTGGGAAGAGAGCAGCCAGGGGCGGACGAAGCCCTCCTTGGACTCCACGAGGTAGGAACCCGGGCAGGGCGCTGCCTAGACGCCGACACCACAGTTAGACAGCTAGGATCCACCTGAGGGACAGCCACACTCAGAGTGGCCCTGGCAACCTGTAGGAATGCCAGTTAGGCCAGCCCAGAAACATCTGTGTTTAAAATTGGTCTTAAGCAGAGTGGATGATTCAAACTACTTAATTTTTTATGTTTGTTTTTAGGCCTTGGGGATTTCTGTCCCCCTCTTAGAAATGCATTAAGCTTCTAACCTTATGAATATATTACTTTAATTAATACATTTCTAATAGGCATAAGCCGTGCTGACACTAATTATGAATTTTTGATTCTTTAATTTTGTTTATTATTCTTGTATCTTTGTAAGCATCTGCTCCATTGGTAACCACCCCCTCTCCTACCAACAAGTGAATTTGTGAAGAGAAAATATGTTTTACTTCCTAAAATATATTTCTAACCCATTTAATCAACCAAGTTCAGCATAATGTATGGCGACTCCTCATTAATGTTAATTGTTATCCAGTGTAAAAAACGCATTTATTTTGAGGCCATTTAGTTTCTCATTTGTCATTCACAGCTATTACAAACCGTTTTTGAGAGGACACATGCATATTTAATACCCCTCAGAGGTGGTGAAATAGCACGTCTTCAGAGCAGGCCTGTCTGCAGCCGCAGAATGGACAGCCTCCTCCGCGTGTCCACGGCAGGTGCTTCCCGGGCCACTCAGCAGGGGTCTTGCTCCCGCCTAGACAGCGGGGCTGAGGTGTTTCCAGCGCTCAGGCGTGGGGTGAGACGAAGGCAGGAGGTGCCACCCATCCTTAGCCGCAGGAGAGGCCTCGCTCTGTTTTGCTGGTAATGCGATGGACCGGAGGCCAGTAGTGCTCAGTCCATGGCTCAGCTGCAGACGTCGGTGACCGCTGGGTGACACCAGAGCCGCAGACCCAATGTCACCAACACTGCAGTGGGAGGGTGTGGTGCACCTTGGATTCACGTGGAGGGGGAAGCTGGCACCTGTTAGTCCTGCTGTCCCCGAGGCTGCTCTGAGGAAGGGCGGGGATGACAGAGACTGTTGGAAGTCCCACAGGTTCGACATGCGGCTTTTCTCATGTGGGTTGTACTGTGCCATGTAGACACAGGTAACTTCTAACAAACCAGAGAAACCCTCGTCTTGTTAAAGCTGCCTTGATCTGTTGACCACCGAGTTAGAAACAGCTGGGTCGTCCACTAGGCACGTTCTTAAAAAAGATCAAATCGCGTTGCATTTAATCATTGAAAGAACTTCAGTCTGAAAATTGGAAATTAGATTGAGTTTAATGTTTGAATGAACAAAACATTGAAATAAGTTTGAAAAAATCAACATGGTTTTTAATATCAGGAATTAGAAAAGCTTGTTTTTCTGTCCATTAAAATTTGAAACCATTTAAATTTATTAGAAGTGAAGTTGTGGGTTATTTTTTAAACTGATAAATATTTCACATTAATTTTGCAGTTCTAAGTGAAAACCACAGGTATTTGATAGTTCTTTGTATCTTTGAATGAAGCGCTTGCATTTGTAGCTCCTGATCTACAGAGCATTAGACCTTGTAGTTCAGAGACGTATCTCGAAGTCTTCCTTTCTCACTAACGAGGCAACTGCAACAGAACCCCATCTTTTCTTGGGTCACACTGGCTTTCCTAAAGAGAAGTGCCAGTAGCCAGGCACACACCTGTAATCATAGCCTCTCAGGAGACTGAGGCAGGAGGATCACAAGTTCAAGACCATCCTCAGCAACTTAGGGAGACCCTGTCTCAAAACAACAAAAAAAAAAAATGAGAGAGGGCTGATGGTGTAGCTCAGCTCAGTGGTAGAGCACTTGCCTAGCATATGAGAGACCCTGGGCTCCATCCCCAGTGCCACCAAGAGTGGGGGAGGTTACAGTATTAAGGTGCAGTTCCTCTCCAGGGCGCGGACACCCTAATGAGGTTCCGTGACGTTTCCACAGGTAGCTCTTGATTTCCTATGTTCTGTCCGCCGCTAAGATCAATGTACAGGAGAACTGACTTTAATTTTTTGTGCCTTTAATAATTCTCCCGGAGAGTTTTGTTTTTGATTAAATTCAGTGAATGTCCATTGAGCACTCGCTCATGGAAGAGACAGTGAATGGTGGTGGGACAGCAGTGGCGGGTGACGTCCTGGGCCCGCTGGGGGTGCCAGGGCTGGCAGAATTTGGCAGGTGGGGGGGGGACTCTTACAGCTGGTGTGCTGCGGGGACGTGTCAGTGGATGAAGGCTGCTCGAGCCGGTGTCTTAATATGAGGTGGTTCCCAGGGGAGGTGTGCCTGGGGAGGTCAGTGGCCTGGGCTAAGGCAGGAGTGGGGGGCTCAGCCTGCAGGTATGCACGTCAGCAGGTCTTCCCCATAGGCTGGACCCTCCTGTAGATGAGGTGGCCAAGGAAGGTGCCGGAGAGGGCCTTTGAGCCTGGGCACCAGCACCAGGACTAGCACCGGGTGTGGGGGCACTTTGGTCTATTTATGTGTCTGAGTGTGTTCCACCTGGAGGAAGCGGGGAAGGCTGTGGTCCTGGCGGAACACAGGAAGCCTTAGAAACACGGTGAAAGCAAAACAACAGCCATTGGTACAGCAGTGATTCGAAACCACCACCTCCACCACCTCCGCGCTTCCCCGAGTGCAGGTGAAAACCAGAAAGTCTGGCTACGTCCCTGCATGGGGTTCATAGCCTTGGGAGGATGGGTTTCTGGTCCCGGTACCCACCCGACCCCTCCATTCCCTCTCTCTGCAGAATCTAGGCTTGATGGGGGGCTTTTGATATGTCCTGAGGTGATACTAGTAAGAAACGCTGTAGTAGGCTGGGGTGCCGCTCCATGGTGTGGCACTTGCCTAGCATGTGCAAGACCCTGGCTCAGTTCCTGGTACCTGAGGAATAAAAAATAATGAATGAATAAATAAAAAAGGATGTGGAAATATACTTAAATAAGTATTTAAATAAAAGCCCCAGACTCTGATGGCTTGAGAAGAGTGCAGTGCTCCCTGAGACGCTCTGGTCTGGACTTGTCCTGACAGTGGAATGCGGCTAGAAGCCACAGACACCCTCCCCCTGACCCCGGCACTTGCCCACCTGGGCACAGGCACACACAGACTGAGGACCGTGGGCAGGCACAGCACACCTTTCTCCTCTGTCCCCTAAAACGCGGCACCTGGAGTTGCCTGGGCCCACAGGCAGCCCAGGAGGGCAGGCACCGGGCAGAGAGACTGGCCTTCAGCCTGCTGTCCCTGTGCCCCTATTAAAGCAGCTCTGGACTGCTTATAATTGGTTCCATGATTCTCAGCCACCCTGAGAACTGCCGTTCAAACTTGAGCAGCATCATGATCAATGGAAGCTGATGGCGGCTGAAGCAGTATTGACTTCCCATTCCTAAACAGCACAGTCATTAGTCAAGGAAAGCATTTTTTAATTACTCCCAGGAAGGAGAAAAAAAAAATCTTTTTGGATGGATTCTGCAACAGCTGCCATTTTGTCCAGTGCATTCGATATTAAATTTATTGTCATAGGAGGAAAAAAGATACCCTCGTCCCCCTCTGTAATGGGGGTTTAATTTGGAGAAGGATTCGTGTCAGAGGCGAGATCGATGAGATGACAATTAACTACATCTGGGGCAGAATCAGAATTCCCCCTCTCTAATTGCTATTGATACCATTTAAGCACACACTTAAAATATTGATTTTTAGATGGGAGGTTTAAGCGGCGCACAGGTAGTAGCAGTGGGCAGAGGAGCCGGGACTGTCGGGGCTGAGCAGGGGCATGTTGCAGTCTTAGAGCCAGGATTTTTGGTGTGAGCTCGGGTAGTGGCCAGGATGAGCACCTTGTAGCAGCTGGGGAGCCATGGGGCAGGGAGGGTCCCTCTGTAAGAGCACCAGTGTCTATCACTATGGAGACAAGTGGCCGAGCTCCTCTTCCAAATGCAAGAATACTAACCGCAGAGGTAAAGGTATTAAAATAGCAGGTGGACCTTGCTCAAGTGAGGGGACAGATGAATGGGGAAGGTGCAGGTGGTCACCCCAGAACATGAGCCTTTTATGCCCCTAGGGCAGGGGGCTTTGGCCTTTGCAGCACAGGGGCAGATGTCCCCATGAACCCATCTGTGCCCCGGGGCTCGGTGGCGTTTGGGGGCCTCATGCAACACCATGACCGCATTCTGTATTATCGTCCCCTCTCACGGGGAAGCCCTTTGGATTGACTGCAGGGACCGAGCAGAGCCCTCTGGACAGAAGCCACCCTCTGCTTATCCCTGTGGCTCTCCCTTCACCTCCCATCTTTGTCTCTTAGTGTCAGGCATCTGGCCCGGGAGGGTCTGCGGGGACGTTGCTATTTGCATTTCAGCACAGGTAGCCTATTTACGAGTGCTCGGGAGCCTGCTGTGTTGGACTAGGAAATCAAAGGAACCTGGAAGTGCAGAACTGGGTTTTCAATTCCATGAAAGAGCTCTTGAGAGGAGCTCTGAGCACGGCTGAAATCACCCATTGCCTCTTTGATGCTACTTGGAAGGGGGCTGGCGGCTGATTTAGTACACACTCCCTCCTGTCTTTAGCTTCCTGTTTCTCTTCTTCTTTTTTTTTTTTCCCATTATTTGTAAGTTCACCTCCATGCCTAAACATCCTTCTTGTCTTTAACCTATAAAAAGATGTTGCCTTGGAAAGGAAGATTGGTGCCCACATCAGAAACCCGCGTGGGAGAGACTGGCCGCGCACTTGCAGATGGAAGCAGCCTGCCCGGCGATGGAGTGCCGTCTCCTTTTGATTCTGCAATGCCACTTTCATCTTATTTATGCACATGGAGATATTGATAAAGGGGAAATGTATCCAAACTGAAAATAATTGGATCCCTGCAGCCAACTCTGAAATATTAAAAGCAGCCCCACTCGGCCACGGCTTTGTCTTGTTAGGTTTGATCATAAGATCACAATATAGTAATCTCAGGCACAGATTCCTGCCCCAAAGATGCACTGTT